GGGTAGTGGAAGTAAGTTATTTCCAAAGGGAAAATTGCCCATCTTCCACATTCCACTGTCATTTTGATTCATAGACTGAAACAAAAATAAGAGTTTTCCTACTTTTCCAATTTCTAGTCGATTTCTTAGCTTTGAGTGACTAATACCAAACAATGAAAATATTCGCTCTGTGCTTGCAGAAGAAGTTACTGCTGTGAAAATTGAAGGAACCCTGTTTCAAGGGGCCTGAGTGGTAATCCCCCTTCCCCAATTCAGGAGAATGACTTTGTTCAAAACATCATTGGTAAATATGTAAACATATGGTTTCATTCCAGCCCTGAAATTTATTATGGGATGGGCATAATTGAGGAGTGATTTTGAGATGCAATAAAATGGTACCATCATCTTCAGAAGTTAGGCATCTACCTTTATATCTGGGCTTAAGAATATTTGCAAGAAAATGAGGTGAAGATAGTTTGTTCCATTCACTTCTTTATTACCTGTAGTTTAACGTTCTAGTGAAGTATTTCTTTCATCACTGTCTCTTGAAGTGCCTTCCAAATTTCAACAGCATTAACAGTGTATCAACAATTTCTCTAAAGTTTAAGGCTATAGATAACAGGTTTCAGTATACTGACATATCCTCTACATTCCTCTTTAATCCATTGTTAGATTGATTAAATAAGTAGAAGTATCTCATCCAAACTTTGTTTTCTTCAACAAATTTACAAAAATAAGTCAGTTCTTAATAAAGAGTTTAAAAGAATCAACCACAGAATTCCCAAACATTTTGAGGGAGAATTAGTTTTCTTGGCATAATGGTTTATAGCATGGGTGGGCAATAATTTTTGGCCAGGGACCACTTCAAAATTTTTTGAAGTGGCTCCAGGCTGCCCCAGAAGGGGCGGGGCCAGGATGCTTCTGAGCTTCCCCATCCCTGGACTATAACTGATCTGGGGGTGGAGCAGCCCCTTTACCTCCCCCTTTCCACTAGGGACCCATGCCCCTGGCAGAGTGGGAAGAGTCTTTGCATGCTCCCCCACCCCAGGCCAATCAGGGTTTGGGGGCAGGGGAGCAGTGAAACCTCCTCCCACCCTATATCCCCCCTCGCCCCTAGGCCAGGAGCACATAGCCAAATTGCTCCCCGCAGGGCAGGAGGAGGCTTCACACTCTCTCCCTGCCCCCAGGCCAATTAGGGCCTGGGAGCAGGGGAGCCGTGTGAAGCGTTCTTTGTCCTGCTCCCACCTTGAGCGAGCGTAGTGCTGCGCGCTCCTCATAGGGTGGGGGGAGGGCGGAGGAAACTGTGTAGCTCCCCCCGCTCCCAGACCTATCAGGGCTTCGGGGTAGGGGGAGCATGTGACGTCTTCTCCCACCCCGCAAGCAGCACATGGCACTTCAAAGTGCCATGTGATCCCAGCAGGGAAGGAGGAAGATTCACATGCTCCATCCCAAAGCCCCTGATTGGCCTGGGGGTGGGAAAGCTTTTTCCTGCTCTTGCAGGGGCATGGGTACCTAATGGGAAGGGGGGGGGTAAAGGGGCTCCTCAAGGCCCGGATCCAGCCTGTGGAGGCCTTCGTGCCCATCCCTGGTTTACAGAGTTAGCTGTGACTTCAGTCCTCCTACTCTCTTCAGTGAAGCTGAAGCAAAATGGTTATTACAAAAGAACTTTGAAACTTCAACAACATTTTTTTTTAATCCTGGAGAAGACGTATTTAAATCTTTGGCTAAAAAGGTGCATTAAATGGGAACTAGAGCCATATGTTATTAAGGAGCATATTTCCATCCTTTTCTAAGCATCTTATCATCTTTGATATGTCTGCAGCAGTGTCCATGACTAAACTGTGCATGCGACAATTGATTGTTCAGTTTATTTCAGCTTTCACTGCCACTTCTTTTAAATATTCTGTTGTGCGGGCATTTCCAAACATATCTATTGTTTCTCAAAGATAAGAAACCCCATCTTCTGTTGTCACACAGGCACATTACTGAATCATTGTATATGATGTCTTAAACTGGCAAATTTCCCCTCCGTATTTCTTGCACGCTGTTCAAGTTCTCTCTCAGACAGCATACCTTCCACCAACGTCTGCTCTACTTGATGGAGTGCAGCCTGGTCATAAGGACTCACCATGTCAATAAAGCTGTTTATTGTTAACAATGTGAAAAGGAGAATTTGTGGCTTAAATGAACAGAACAATCTTTTCATCTATTGTTTCTCATTGGTATTTGATAGTCCTTTCTACAAACACATCCATGGTGGTAGTATTATCGGATGACTGAAGTCTTTTGCTTGCTACTTATACTTTGTTGTCTGAAATATGTTTAGTGGTAGCATTGCTGCTAAAAGTACCAACGGATAACTCTGAAGTTGTTGAATATTGATAGACAACCTAAGTCTCTTACAATTGAATGGGATCCTGAAACAAAATTCAAAAATGTTGATTTTAAATAGTGGCTTTTCTTAATTCTTCTCACTCTCTTATTTAGTTAATCATTTCCGTTTTTTCCAGCAAGGATACAGATCCAAATCCAAGCTTCCAAAAAAGCTGACTGTGCTTAGCATACACTTAATTTTGGAGTAAACCCCATTGAACTCACTAGCACTTCTGTTTTTTTGAGGAAACAAGTATAGGATGGGATTCCCTTGGGAAAGCTGAATTATGTCTAAGTAAAATAGGGAGTAGGCTTACGGCATCACCATTATGGTCTGTGACCATGATGTTCCAAAATGAGGGGCATGCATTATGTAATATAAAATAGACACTCAGTGACAACTAGTAACTCTAGATTTCTCATATTGCAGCTTCCTGTACTGTATACTTGGGTGATAGATGTAAACCTAGTTAAACAAGTCATAAGGACTAGCAAAGCTGAACTTTTTTTCTAGAAACATCCAACACAGCAAACAACTTGGGAATTTACTTGTTAAATTACACATACTAAACAGCATAGAGAGATGCATTGCAAAGTGAATTATTTAAATTACTAATCAATTGATCCACATTGTTTTTCAGCCATAGCCACATCTTCATCCACATCATTTTCTCCCAATAAGCAGTTTTTCTTCTGATGTTTCATTCTTGCAACATCTTCTTGCATCATCTTCTTGTACTGCTTATACTTGATATATTTTGTTTTTTTTACCCAGGGAACAAATTTCTTCAAAATATTCACAGATAAGGTCTCATGCCCAGAGGCCATGACAGTTTTTCTCTGGCAGAAGTGTGGGAGAATATTGGAAGCTGTGTGTGTGCCGAATAAAGTCTTCCCTTTTTCTTTCCAGTCCACTATTCCTTTCTATGCTGCCTGCATCCTTTCCTATGCATTGTGTCTCTGTGTTTAGAACATGTTTTAACTAACTCCTCTGCCATGTTTGGCCCAGGTCCACCACTACATAGGCATGGAACAAAAACAATTCTATCCATCTTTCTTTGCACATGTTACTTTAGTCTGCTGAGAAACAGAAAGCTCAGAACTTTAAAGAAACAAGAGCTGGCAGGTTTGGCTAGACAGACAAGAACAGTTAATTTCATTTTTATGATGCAATAAGGGTAAGTATAGCATGTTTGCAATGAGATTCAATTGTCACATTTTTAAATGAGAAATCTAGTATTTTATTCATGTATTTTATTTATTTATTTTATTAAATAAATCTAGTATTTATTTAAAAAAATCTCCTTTAAATTAAAAAAAAACAGATTTTTTTAAATAAAAAATACATGGATTTTTATCCACTCTATCACATCACTGTACTCATGCCAGATTGTACGGGGCATTTCTATTAAATAAACTTTTCTACCTATTATTGTCACCCTAGTTTTTATTAAAAGAAACCTTAAATAATAGTCTATCTGAAACCAAAAGTTATTAATGTCCTAGTTATTAAACTTCACATGCTCAAAAAGATAAGTATTCAGGGAAATTTAAAAATAACCTCTTTAAAAACCAAACTGAAATATTGTTTTAACAAGAACCTGGATGAAACAGATTATACCAGCACTGACAAAAGTGATGATGTATTTGTCATTTTTAGAGAAGTGCAATCAACACAGAATAAATAACCATAGGATAATCTAACAACATGTGTCACTGTTGAACTCTTCAAATTCAACTTTACTAAGGAAAAACATTTCAAATGACAATATAAATCTGTAAAATGAGTTCTCTTGAAAATCTCACCTATGCTACTGAAAATAGGCATCTGTTAAGATCAAGCTGTCTCAAAGCTGAAAATGAAAATTTCATACTAATGTACATTCCAATATTAAAATAGTGAGAATTTTATACCATCATGAGAATATATATAAATATATGGGGGCATGCAGAACATGTCGTTCATGTAAGCCCACGACCATGGGGGGCCCAAATCAAAAGGTGAGTGTTTCAAATTTAAATGATAAGACATCTGATTTATTAGTAACTTTGATTTTTACTGTTCTTTTAATGAATACTAAGGTCAATTAAAACTACACAAACTTATTTAAACTGAGAAGATGGGGAAAAATAATTAACATTAGTTAAGCAGTAATGCTCAAGAGATGAGCCGTGAGAGGAAAGGGGTGCTCAAAGTCACATCTTGCTTGCCCCTCCTCTAGAACAGCTAGCTACGCCCCTGAGTATATGAACACACGGACCTCAATAAACCAAGTCTCCAAACAAAGAGTAAAAAGTATGCAAATATAACACTACCCAAAAATAGAGAGCACTGAAGTCACAGCTAAATCTGTAAACCATTATGACAAGAAACACTAAAATAGCATGCTAAGATAAATTATTACCCCTAACATTTCACTCTGATGGCAGACATATTTCTGCTCTGGTGAATTGCAAGAGGAGCAATATCCCTCTATACTGAAATCCTGCTGTGCTGGAATCCAGTAATTACATGAATCTAAGTCTATAGCTAGAAAAATCCAAGTCGGTTAGAACTACTGGGCTAGAGAAACAGTCTTTCGGGTTGCTGAGTCCCAGATCATCAGGGCTTTAAAGATCATTAACCCATTAATTAACTTATCACTTACTTGTTTTTCAGCTTGTCCATAATCAGATCCTTGCGTTGGCAAAAAGTAGCAAATATGACCATTGTTTTTTGCTTTTTCTCGAAGAGCCATGGCAGTTCGCACAGTGGCATTTCTAGCATGAACAAACACCATCACCTTAAGATAAAAGAAAAAAATGTTGATAAATAACAAAAACTTAATAAAATAATAAATCTCTGGAGTAATGGAGTTATTTCTGCTGAAATAAATGGCATCTTTTTTATTGAGAAATACAGAAATGTTAGAAATGTTTCACTTCATATACTTCTGCAAAGCCATTTCAATTTATACAAACTGTTATTTATTATCCTGCAAAAATACCAAAATAATTTCAAACATCTTCAAAGTGCTATGCTTACCTATTTTAAGCAGCATATCTAAAAACAGAGAGGAAGGGTTTCTCTAAAAGTTTAAGAAGGAGATGAGAATTTACATGCCCAAATTCCATTAACTTCCAATGTCAAGTGGATGCTTAACAGCCCTTTATAGGTTTGAAAAGCTCTTCCTCAACTGTTATATGTAGGGGAAAAAAAGGTCTAATTTCTGAAGCAAATCATGCTCTCTACTAAGCCTGCTTTGCATTGCACATGTAGCCTTAAGTCCTCACTTTGGCCCAGACCCGGGCAACACTGGGTAAGTCTTCTAGTTTCAAAATAAACTGGTAAATTAATGACAATTTCTTTACCTTAAGTTCTAGACACACCAAATCCTATCATCCCATTACAGAAAATCTAAAATTTTAAACATGCTATGAGAAATTCTAAATTAAGAGGGCTATAGAAACAATGCAGTTAAAAGGCTATATGGAAACAATGTGTGTGCACATTTGATCATCATGTATTAGGAAAAATGACCTTACCAGACAAGGATGAATACCCTTAATATTATTACAAAACAATTGCACTATCAACTATAACATTAAATACACATTTGTAGATTTTTATATTACCATAAGTATGTTGTGTGTTCATGTAATGGAAGATTATTTGTGCTAATGTATACATAAAATGTGACAGATCAAGAAAATTTTGTTCAATCTAGACATTAACATCAGAAAAAACGACGGATTTATTAAAAATAGGAAAAATAGTAATTTCAGTCTAAAAATCCAAATGAGAAAGTCACATCTTTGATGATGTCAAAAGAATAATACAGGAGCAGAAGGTAATACAGTAGATACACTAAGAATTTATCTAGAAAATATATTTTTCAATTATTTTGTAACATACAGAGCTTGGAATTTCATTAAGACCTCAACAAACTAAGAAAGGCTGGTATGTAACACGAGTTCATGCAAAGACAGATCGAAAATTCAAATCAGAAAGTATTTGCCAGTTGATGGCTGCAGAGGGAATCAATTGTTTTATAAGGGGTAACAATGATGAAAAAAAATCTTACTGAAGTGTACCAAAATTTTTCTTAAAATCTTGAGTTCTGGTCCCCATTACTGGATTTGCTGTTGGAGTGAAAGTGGAGTGGTGAAAAAAAAAGGTTTATACTTTCATAGTTTCACAGTTTAAGGCCAAAAGTTCATCTAGTTTGACCTCCTGTTTATCACAGATCATTAAATTTCACCTCAGTAGCCGAATACTGAGTCCACTGACTAGTTTAGGCTGAAGTATTTCAATCCACAGGAAATTAAACTATTGTGTGTCACAAAGAGAGAACAGGAGAGACTGAGGTGCCACCCATGCAAGATGCCCCTGCAAAAATCTATTTATATATTTTAAAAGTGTGTGTATCTGTCCATCCACGAGCCCATTTGTTCAAGAATTGGTCCAAAATAGTAAAGAGCTAGAATCACCAAATCTGGTATGCAGATTTTTCATATCCTAACAAAGCAAGATCAGGGCTTGCTTGTGTCAAAAAAATGGGATGTGCATGAAATGGGATTGTTTTCCATAATACAAAATGGGGGGCTGCTAGGAGAAAAAGTTATACTGAAGAGTGATCACAGAGGGGTGGCTGCATCAACTGTCTGCCACAGGGGCAGCCCAAGCAACTACCTTCCAGCCTCAGCTCTAGCACTGGACGGGAGGCCAGGGGGGTGAGCTGTATGACCCTAGGGAGCTGCTGCTATCAGCAGCTCAGCACCCCTGTGCTAGTCAACCTGGTGAGCAAGCATGGCCCTAGGAGCCACCGCTGCACCTCAGGCAGCCGGCAGCACCCCAGTGACACCCTCACCACTGCAGACAGCCCAGGTGAGACCCCCAGAACTCTCAGCCCTCTGCCCTAAGTCTCCCTAAACCCAACTCTCTGCCCTGAACCCTGTACCTCAACCCTTGCTCTGAGCCCCCCGACTCCTAATCTGACTCCTCTACCCTCTGCTCTGAGCTCCCTACCTGCAACCCCCCTGCTCTGATTGCTGCACTTCACCCCCTGCCCTGAACCCTCCAATCCTCCTAATCCCCTTCTCTGACTCCTGCAACCTCCAAACCATGCCTAGACTCCTGTATCGCCCCCAAAAGTTAAGCACCCGAGCAATCCTGGGTATATCTGCTAGTATTTTCATACTATTCAGAACAGTATGTAAGAAGGAATTATATTTTGAAGATTATTTTTTGTTATATCCAGTAGAAAAAAAATACTAGAAAAATAGTATATTATCTATGTACTTTCTCCAGACCATTGTCCCTTCTATCTGATATTGCTTTCTTTTTCACACTGAATTATCTCCTTTACTTGGAGAAAAAAAAGTTTCAGTTACACATGAAAATAAGGGAACTTGCAATAAACTTGATCCTTCGAGAACAGCTTTCATCCTTTTTCTTTAGGGCCAAACCTCAAAATATTATTAATTTATCTTGAAAGATGTGTTAATATTAAAGATTTATTCCACAGTATACACGTTAAAATACATAATCTGTCAGAAAGAATTTATAACTGAAGAATGGAAAAGTGAAGTCAGACTATCGAACAGATGAAGGGATGGCATGACATGCATAATTTTGTGGTTACTTTGATTAGGTCATGCATGCTTCATGGCAGCAATTATCAATTTATTTTAATTACGTATTTTTGTTAATTACATGATTCCATAATAATCCTTTATAGCAGTATGTCTTTTTCAATTATACCCTTTTGCTTAACTAGAAACATCCTCAGATGTGGTAAATGCCATTGATGACTGCATACCAATTGCCTGTTGTTTACATGCCACATAATGGCAAAATCGAGTTTAAATTTCTCCAAAATGGGAGACATTCAGACCTGTAAGGGAGAGTAGACTATGATCCTAAATCATCATTAATCATTTCAGTGTGATTTGTCACTTGATCATTTTGTGATTTATTTCCTAGAACAGCCTGGACAGAGCTAAGTTAGAACTTACAATGATCGCTACTTAAGCGGTGGAGGCCCTTGTCTGATTTGTTGGAAAAGATGAGTCGCTCTGATAAAGACTAGGAGATGTGGCAGGGAATGACAGCAGGTCAGCATGGTCCTATCTCAGCTGACCCCTACCCCAGGTGACTAGAATAGAAGGAGGACTAGATAGGTGTAGGGCAATGCAGGAAAAAAACCCTCTTTTATCTTGACTAGGCAAAGTAACACCTATCCTCCTACATAAAGAAATGATGAAATACCAGGTTTTGTCAGGCACGGTGCTAGCTGTTCATTTCTCAGAAGATTGGAAACTAATTTTTCCACTCACTGACTGACAGGTTGGCCAACAGGAAGCGCTTTTACCCTCGTCTTTTCCATAGTGGGGGTGAAGGGCTTAATTTGGGGGAAATATGAAATATAAGTTAGGACACGATATCATTATTCATTATGTAAATGTAGGGTGAATACTCCACGGGGAAGGGATACAGTGATCAGATAAAGGGCACTGCTAACATATACAAGAGATATTCTTTAAAGGTATGTCTACACTGCAGGACAAAGTCAAATTAAGGTAGCTGAAGTTGCATATGTTAATTGAGTAGCTGAAGTCAAAGTATCTCAACTTGGCATTTGGCGCTATCTACACTGCAGAAGTCAAAGGAAGAACACTCTTCTTCCGTTACTCCTCATGAAATCAGGATTACCTGCATAAACAAGAGCATCTCTCTCAGTTTGAATTAGCCATTTCAACTCGACCGCTAATCTGAACCCTGGAATATCAATAGTGGCAGCTTTGATCATCCTCTGCAGGGTAGACATACCCTAAAAAGAGCAGAAATTGGGGTCTTTTGGCTGGTATGTCAGGGGGCAAGCCTCTCCCCACATTTGAGAACAGAAAGTAGTAAGGTCCAAGCAGCGGGACTACAGACTGGGATGGTTGATGAGGAAGACTCAAGGAATCTCCTCACAGGTATATATTCAAATGATTATGAATTACCTACACAGTACACTTTCATCTGCTGGGTATTCACAGACATTTAAGAATAAAATTATGGTCTAATAAACTACAGCAGGTCCCCGAGTTACGACCGAAGCTGTCGTAAATGGCGGACCCCGAGTTATGAATGCAATCCATGCTTACGAACAGTTCAGTCACGTGTGACTCTATGGGGTTCAACTTACGAACAAACTGAGTTATGGACCAATTGCTTGGTCTGTAACCAGTTCGTAAGTGTGGGAGAGGCTGTACATTTGGTATCCCCTGTCCTAGCAGCACTGCTGGACAACAGCAAATTCCTTTTAGGAAAGGATCCATTTCTTACAATCCTCTCAAATCTTTAGGCGTGTGTGCTTGACAGCCTTCGCTGAAAACACTGGTAAGTTTTTTAACATCTAAAAATATACTTCATTTTACAGTTTGTTAATTTGTTTCCTTGTTTAAAACAAGAGAATTGAACATTTTAATCTACATAGATCAAATTGGGCTGTTTCACTAACAAAAATAACTGCAAATTCTCTCAATAAGAAGCTGAAAGCTGAGAAGCAGCGAAAATGCTGTAGGTATAAAGCCTTTATCCAGGACATGACCTCTAGCTTCAAAGCAGTGGGGGATGAGGAAGGACTTGAAAATTAAATGAAAAGTTAGATGTAACCACAAGACAGTAATAAATAGTGAAGGATGGTGCATTGCACAGGACTAGGGGAGCTGGTACATCAGACCCTTTGTTGTTTACAAGTTCTACCGGTATTTAATAATTTAGAAATAAAATATTTTATGTTATATAAAATAAAGT